AGATGCTGCTCGCCTTTCCATATTTGAAGCACAATCTACTGAAGCCGATAAGTTGGAGTCTCGGTTATAGCAGAGCGAGCAGGAAGTGGCGGCCCTCAGCCAAAAGGCCTCCCAGTTAAGTGTACAATTTCAAGAAGCCAAGGTTAAATGGTCTGTGGTCTAGAACACTATACTTACTGCTGCCGAGTGCGAGGCTGCCTATATTGAGAGATTGATTAACTTGGAGGAAGCCTTGAACTCCAAAGTTGAAGAGGCTGCTGATGCTGAGGAGAAGCATTCCCAGATGGAGGAAAAGTATAAGAGGGTTATGAAACACAATAAGGTTGATATCTCCACTATCCGTGACCTTGATCTCAACCTTAAGGCTACAAGATTCGAGAGGGATAGCCTTTTGACCGAGGTTGATTGGTTTAAATCAGAGCTCCAGCACCGAGCGGATTCCCTCACTGTTGAGAAAACACATTCTATGTATAGAATAAGGAGAAAAACCTTGGAAGAGGCCAAAACGGGCGTCATTGATTTTGATGCCGAGATTTCCAAAGCCCGAGAGCTAGAGTCAACCGCTTGAAAGTGCCTCCCGGCTCGAACCGATGCAACATAATCTTCTGGTTCTGGTTCCGAGTTCTCAGGAACTGAGGAGGATATTGAAAAGGATAATGATGAAGGTAAAGATCCCGAGCCGGCGGCAGATCCACCTACTTCTCCTGGGGGTGTAGATGCCTCTCTTCCCCCAAGTTCAAGGGATGCAATAGTTTAGTTTTTTTGCTTTCTTTTCCCTTTGTTGTTTTCTTTTCATAATTTTGTACTTGTGCTGCTTGGCACATTCGTTATATAAAAGTGCTTTTCATTTAAGCATTGCACAAAGTTTACTTTATTGCGTTGAATTATGCAAGGCTTCGGTTGTATTTTTCCCCGGAAGCATTTGGGTTTCGGGAATAAACTCTTCCGAAACCATCCCTTTACTGTGAGTATTTCATAAGAGAGAGACCTCTTATATTTACGGTGCTCTTGAATAGGATGTCTCTTGTTCATTCCGGCATTAACATTTGAAGTACTTGATTAACTTTCAAATGATAAAATTAATTCATCGTTTGGACAAGAAAAAAGATAAAAATCAAAGGAATATATTTTGTTCCTTCTATCTTCAAAAGTACATAAGCATTCGTTCGGCTGAAAAACATTACTTGCGGCTAATTTGTACAACTTGTTTCTACGGGGCCGGCTGCGCAGTCTCTGGTCCCGATGAGACATTTTTGTTTTCGGATTTTATAGTCCCTATTTTTGTGGAAATCAGGATGTCGTATTCTCATATCATTTCCTCAGTGTTCGAATGCAAAGAATTAGAGTTGGAACACTGGAAGTCTTGCTCCTTTGAGGATTACACTATTGAATGGTTGGATAATCTTTGGTTCGATAGAAAGCTTCATTTCCCATTAGGAACTTTGCTACGAGCCAAAGATTATCTAACCACCCCAAGTGGATTATAGTAAAGAAGCACTCGTGAAGGGTCGAATAGCTTTTGGTCCGATATCAAGCTTTTTTTCCCGTTAGGAACTTTGTTATCGAGCCAAAGACTATCTAACCATCCCGTAGTTGTTTGTTTCCATGCCTTGTCATTTAAATGTCTTATTTCTGTTGATGTAATTTCCTTCGTAGTATGCTTTTCGTTGCTACCTCATTAAAAACCTTTCCAGAAAACCCCAATTTGGACAAAAACTAGACGAATGGAAAAAGAGTACAGCACATACTTTCAGTATAAGCGGTGCTTATCAGCAATAATATCTTTTGAGGTGTGACACATTCTAGTTGCTCGGCAATTTTACTCCATCTTGGTTTTCCAGTTCATATGATCATTTCTCGGTGACAGCTGAAACCCGGTAAGGGCCTTCCCAAGTCGTACCCAGCTTCCTGCATTCAGTTCGGGTGTTTTGAGTCACTTTCCTTAAAACCAAGTCTCCTACTCACAAATAGTGGAGATTTCCCCATTGATTATAGTATCTTTCCATTCTTTGTTTCTGGGCCACCATCTTTATGTGTGCAAAGTCCCGCGTTTGTCAAGCAACTCCAATTTGACTAGCAATGCTTCGTTGTTTGTTTCTTCATTCGCCCGGAAATATCTTATGGTAGGTTCTCCCACTTTCACCGGGATTAGAGATTCTGCTCCGTATACGAGATAGAAAGGTGCCTCTCCCGTGCTTGACATGGTTGTTGTCCGGTATGCACATACACTCTTGGTAACTTTTCTGGCCATTTGCCTTTGGCTGCTTCCAATCTCTTTTTGAGGTTTTGAATAATCACCTTGTTTGTCAATTCTGCTTGGCCTCCGATGGTATGGTGAAGATGTGATTCTTTTTATTTTCAGATCCTCAAGGAATTTTGTGACCTTTGCCCCTATGAATTGTGGCCCATTGTCGTAGGCTATCTCCTTTGGTATTCCGAACCTGCAAATGATGTTCTCCCATAGGAAATCGACCACTTCGCACTCGCCGATCTTCTGATAAAGACCTGATGCAACCCACTTAGATATGTAATCAGTTAAAATCAAAAGAAACCTTACCTTTCCGGGAGCCGGTGGCAGTGGACTGGCTATATCCATCTCCCATTTCATGAATGGCCATGGCGATAATACCGAGTGCAATAGCTCTACTGGTTGGTGTAATAACGACGCGTGAAGTTGACACTTGTCTCATTTTTGAACGAATGCCTTTGCATCTTATTCCATCCTAGGCCAGTAGTATCCTTCCCTAACTAACTTTAACACTAATGAGTCCGCACCTGAGTGATTTCCATAGACTCCTTCGTGGCCTCCCTAGAAGCTGTAGTGAGCTGCTTTGGTGCGGAGTGCACGGGATGCCTTCAGATCATCGGGCAGTTTGCTGTGCTCAAGGTAGTCGATTATTTCATTTCTCCAGTCCTAGACCAAATTGGTCGCATTTACTTCATAATAACCGTCCACATATAGTACCGAATGCATGAGCTATACAACCGTACCGGAATCTGATCCCTTCATTTCCATGGACGTACCCAAATTGGCCAGTGCGTCTGCTTCTGTGTTTTATTCTCTCGAAATGTGGGTGACTGACTGTTCCCTGAACCGTGCAAGCAGAGTCTGAAATTTCACCACATATTGTTGCATGCGTTCCTCTTTGGTGTCGAAGATCCCGTATACCAAATTTACTATTTGTTGGGAATCACATTTGATTTCAATGACCTCGAAGTCTAGTCTCCGGGCCTGTTCAAGTCCTGCAATCAAAGCATCATACTCAGCTTCATTGTTAGTCAAGGGAACGGTTTTTATGGCTTGCCTCAGGGCTTCTCTCGAAGGCGTACTTAATAATACCCCGAGCCTGGACCCTTTCAAGTTGGAAGCCCCATCCGTGAACAAGGTCCAAACTCCTGATGTCATTTCCGACACCATTGCCGCTTCTTTGGTGTCCAAAGGAACTAGTACGACACTGAAATCAGCCACAAAGTCAGCCAAAACTTATGATCTGATTGCGGTCCTGGGATTATACTCGATGTCAAATCCACTCATTTTGACTGCCCATTTGGCTAGTCATTCTAACAATTTAGGTTTGTGAAGGATATTCTGCAGGGGAAAAGTTGTCACCACGACTATGGGGTGGCATTGAAAATAAGGCCTAAGTTTTTGAGCGGCAACTACGAGAGCTAAGGCCAATTTTTCGAGGTGTGGGTAGTGAGTTTCTGCTCCTGTTAAAGTTTTGCCAACGTAATAGATAGGAGATTGCGTGCCTTCGTCTTCCAGGACTAGAATGGCACTTACCGCTACCTCCGAGACCGCTTAGTAAATTAGCAATTATTTGCCTTCCTCCGATTTTGATAGTAACAGAGGGATTGATAAATATATTTTCAAGTCTTTTAGGGAATGTTGGCATTTCGGAGTCCATTGGGAGTTGTTGTTATTCTTCTTCAGAAGTGAGAAGAAGTGATGGCATTTTTCCGTAGACCGGGAAATGAACTTGCTTAGAGCGACCAGTCTTCCAGTTAACCTTTGGACTTCTTTCACATTTGTGAGCTGGTCGGGAATATCCTCGATGGCTTTAATTTTATCGTGATTGACTTTGATCCCCCTTTGTGACACTAGGAAGCCCAAAAGTTTACCGGAGCTGACTCCCAATGCACACTTTTCGGGGTTAAGCTTCATGTTATGCTTCCTTAGGATGTCAAAAGTCAAAGACTTAACCAGCATATCATTTATGTAAACTTCCATTGTTTTCCTTATCTGCTTTTTGAACATTTTGTTCACGGGCCTCTGATAAGTGGCTCCAGCGTCCCTAATCCCTAAGGCCATCACATTATAGCAATATGTGCAAAAGTTCGTTATGAATGAAGTCTTTTCCTTATCCTCTGAGTTCATTTTGATTTGGTTGTACCCGGAATAGGCATGAGAAAACTCATCAACTCGCGCCCGGCGGTTGCATAAATCATTTGATTAATATTTGGCAATGGGAACGAGTCTTTTGGGCATGACTTATTCAGATTTTTATAATCTACGCACATGCAAAACTTATTATTCTTTTTTGGACCTACCACTACGTTAGCTAGCCAGTCGTGATGATTGAACCTATGTCAAGAAATCAAGTTACCTCTTCTTTGACAAACCTGTTTTTGACTTCAGCAATCGGGCGCTTCTTTTGCCTTACCGGAGGGATGTTGGGGTCCAAACTTAACTTGTGAATGGACACCTCTAGCAAAATACCTTTCATATCCGCATGCGACCATGCAAAACAATCATCATTAATTTTAAGAAATTCTACAAATCGTGATCTGAGCTCGGGGTTTAATCTTGTCCCCAAGTGGAACTTCCTCTCTAAGAACTTTTCAAACAATGCGACTTGTTCGAGCTCTTCCGCCATGGATTTGGTTGCATCCGTCTCTTCCGGTACATGAAATTACCTTGGTACCTGATAGGATTCCAACGGCTCCTCTCCTTTGTTGGCTTCATTTGATTTGGGAGCGGGCGTCGGTTCCTGTAATTGCTATGCCGCATGTTCCTTCTCTTTACTGCTAGAAACTGAGATCGCGTTCATCTCCTTTGCCGCCGGTTGATCTCCTATTATTTGTTTGATTCCCTCCGGAGTTAGGAATTTCAGGAGCTGATGGTAAGTTGATGGCACAACCTTCATTTCGTGCAGCCATGGTCTGCCGAAAATAATGTTGTAGCCCATGTCACCGTTTACTACCTCAAACAAGGTAGTCTTTATGACTCCCTCGGCATTTGTAGGCAGTAGGATCTCCCCTCGAGTTTTCACACTATCTAAGTTGAACCCAGCGAGGAGCTTTTGACCGGAATGATGCTTCCAGTTAGCTTGGCTTGTTCCAGCACATTGAATGATATTGGCGGAACTTCCTGGGTCCACCAAAACACAATTAATTTTAAAATCTAAATCATCGAGAGAAATTATCAGGTCATCGTTGTGCGGTAGTAGGAGTCCATCGACGTCCTCCTCTGTGAAGGTGATTTCGTCATTGACAACTTCCCAGAGTCTCTTGTTATGAGTAATAGATACCTTGTCTTTTTTGCTGCCGAAAAGGATACCCCATTAATCTCATTCCCCACAAAAATCATGTTGATCGTTAGTCGAGGAGGATCTTATCCTATCTTCGAGGGATATGAGTTATCCCGGTTACGGCTGTAGTTATTTTTGGCCTGATTAGTTAAGAATTCTCTGAGATGGCCATTTTTCAGCAGCGTCGCCACCTCTTCGGGCAGATGTCGGCAGTCCCCAGTTCGGTGGTCATTAGTCTCATGATAATCAAACCAATTAGTATCCCTCTGACTGGGATCAGATCTCAACAGCCTTATGAACCGTGCTTCCTTAATGTTGCTCATCATTGGTACCAGCTCCACCACGCTGACATTGAAATTATATTCGGACAGTTTGGGGTAGGTGGAATCGCGGGAGCCTGATATCTCTTTTACCTGCAATGATCTGTTATTCCAGCCAAAGCCAGCTCTCCTATCGGTAGCGAATCCGTCCGCCAACCAAAAACCTCTATGGCGTCCTTCAGCCATTTCGTAGGGCAAAAGTCGGCCCTTAGAAGATTGCCGATCTGCGTCAAAATCGCCTTTCGACTTATCCTTGTTCTTTTCTCGATCCCGGCCCTTGGTTGATGCCGGGAAACCGAGCTGGTCGTCTTCTATTCTTATCTTTGATTCGTAACAGTTGTGGACATCTACCCAAGTAGTTTCCTATAACTCGAGTAGGCTTTCTTTTAGTTTTCGTAAAGCGTCGGAGCTCTTGGGGTTCAACCCCTTAGTAAATGCCTCAACTTCCCATTTATCTGGCACGACCGGTAGCAACAGCCTTTCCGTCTGAAACCTGGTCACAAACTCTTGCGGCAATCCAGACTCTCCTTGTGCAATTTTGAATATGTCGGCCTTTTTGGCCTGTACCTTTCTGGCCCCGGCATGGGCCTTAATGAAAGAACTAACAAGCATCATAAAGGAATCTATTGAATGCCTGGGTATAAGTGAATACCATGTTAGGGCTCCCTTTGTGAGGGTTTCCCCGAACTTCGTCAGCAGGACTGACTCAATCTCGTGCGGAGCTAAGTCGTTTCCTTTAAGTGCCGTCGTGTAGGTTGTGATGTGCTACCGAGGATTTGAGGTCCCATCATATTTTGGTACGTCTGGCATTTTGAACTGCTTCGGGATTAACTCTAGTGTCGTACTCGGTTTGAACGGCAACTAGATGTATTTCTTTGAGTCCGGTCCCTTCAGCACTAGCAGTGCGCTGGAATTTAGTCCATTTGGGTGTTTATTTCCCTCATAAACCGCATGAGCTCGATTTTAAAGGGATCATTACCGTTGTTGTTACCAAATCCGCTGCCGTTCCCCCCGGCCCTGTCAAAGCCGACCTCACCCCTCGGGTGTTGTTATCAACCCTTTGCGCTGTTTGATTTGCGAGAGCACCAGGAGGAACCAGACCTCTTCTATTCGCATTGTTGGAAGCACCTGACAACGCTTGCCTCAATTCTGTCACGGCGTGGTCTTGCCGTGAGAGATGGCCCATGATTGCCTTTTGTTGTTCTCTCAAGATTCTTACCGTTTTCGCAACGTACTCGTCTTCGGCATCATCAAGAGCCGCCTCACGTACGTGTTGTGGATATTGTCCGTTATGGACTGGCATGGCTATGTCCCCCTCGTTGCGGGTATCGCTGATTGAATCTTCGTGTTGAGACGGATTTCCTCGTGCCTCAACGTTGTGAGCGATGTTGATATCGTTATCTGCCATCTTTTGCGATTTTTTGCTAAGACACAAAGAATCAAACAGATTAGTAATATGTGCAACGATCAACTCAATTACGCAACTGTATAAGCCCCACGATGGGCGCCAAACTGTTTACTCGTAAAACGGTACAGTTAAATTTATAACTTGGTTTACAGACAAGCGAATTAATTTAATCCTAAAATGGTAAATAAATTAAATAAAATATAAGACATAACGTTGAAATCGAGATAAGACAGGAAACAACTTGGTTCCGGGAGAAGGCTTCCGGAGACAGCGGTAAGATTGTCAATAGACTGAAAATAAAGTATGATTGAGCTTATAATAATGTGTAGCACAAGTTTGTCAGAATTTCGTTTTCTACAATGGCTGCTGAAGTCACTATTTGTAGCTACACCTAGGGAAACAAGGTCCTAGGATCAAGCCCCTCTTAAATGATAATTATGGGGGCCATTGATGAATGTGTAACGACAAGCTATATAGCCAAAATTCTTTGTAACGGACTGTGTATTTAATACTAAAGAATATTCTTCATTGAATGTCATAAGGTTGCAAGTATTCGTTTGTCCTCATAAGCAAGGTTCCCTTCGGGGTTTGCCAGGTACCAACCGAAATTGTTGTCCCGGTCTTGATTTCTACTTGCTTCATCTTTCGTCCGTCTCCGGTTTCATGTGTCGCTCTATTATTCGATTATTTAATATGAACCGATTTTACCCTATTCATGATCATTAGGCTATTTTGTCATTTTCAAGTTACTTGTAGAGTTAGAAGCATATGAAAGGATAAAAGTAGCAAGAAGAAATACTAGAACTACGCTGATCATATGTCAATTATATATCTTATAATTTTTGACCCTGCAAATAGTATGTAAGTCAATCCAGTGAGAGAAAGAGAGACAATCGTGAGCTAAGATACATAGTATATTCTACGGAAAGTTGTGTATTTGACGGTACGAATGATTTTACAGGATCGATGTCAAAGAAGACATTCATAAAGGAAGAAGGGATTTATGTTTTCGGAAGAAGCAAATGGTTTGTTATGCTTCACAATAATCACTAAGAAACAAAATAAAAGAGAGAGAAAAAAAAATGGCTGCAGTAAATTCTTCTTAACCCACAATATTAAAGAATATACTTTTAATTAACTTTAACAATAAATTGAAGTGTTCTATATAAAGTCCTCGTAGGATCCATTTCTCTGACTGCTGGGTCAGAAAAATATTTTTATCTTTAAATGTTTATGACGGTAAAAACGGATTATGTCCACGTAATACTAAAAATGATGTGACAATATCCACATTTTTCTTGTTTAAATTTGTCTAATATGTTTTACTAATCTGAAATTATCAAGATCAACCTACCTACTTGTTTTCAAATATTTCATTTTGGTAGTATAAAAATTAACTTCATCTCATTTATGCAAACTCTGCTAATAATGTGATTGCCATCATAATGGACGAGTTTGCATCAAATGAAAATACTCCCACAATATTTTAGGAAAATTACAAAGGTTGAAAAAATTTGAACCCTCATCAAGGAATTATTTTACTAAATCATCTAATTAGTTGTACCATTAGATAAATGTATCCTCTAATAATATGATAATTGAGTTCATGGAAACAGTTTGATTGCTAAAAAGTAAATAAATAAGATGAACAAAATAAATCAAAACTGCAACTACCATACCTTCTCAATGGAGTTGAACCAAACATTTTGAAAATCAAAATTTAAGACAAAGTTCTATATTGTTTTTGACTGCAACGTGTTGTTTAGTTTATTTGGAAACTTCGTCTATTATTACCATTATAAGGTTCTTTTTCATAGTGTTGAGTGTTTTCAGAACGAGTTACATGTGCGCGTAAAGCTATATTATTTTCTTTTAACATTATGTTAACTCATCGACAATTCTTGCATCGTGTGGGACCTATTAAAAGAAAATGCTCAGGGAATTTTTTAATTCTTTTGAGCTCGAAATCAAAAATACTGATAAAACATGCAGGGATTTCATCCATTCGTCATACACTTTAGTGCATGTTACCAATTTAGTGATTCACTAACATATTTTCTTGAAACTTTTGGACCGCAATGCTTAGGTTTGGGGCATACCTGCGCTGAGTGAGCCCCGAGCTCAGTACAAGTGAGTCTACTACAGTTTTACACAAAGGAACCAAGTCGAGTTCCATCGAACATTGCTAAAGTGTAACCAAAATGAAGATGAGCCAAGTTTGACCCGGCTCTGTAGGTGTTTGGGACCCGGCTCTTTAGGTGTTTGGTTTCACTCATATACATTACGCCTTTCAACAAAGTTACTTATTTTTAAAAAAAAATGGATAGGTTAAAAAGATATTGGAACGGTAGGAAATATTGGTCCATTCGTTTTTGTTTCCGCTTCACGAAGAACAAATAAGTTCTCGTTTTACGATTAACACGCTATCTAATGCGTTTAGATTATATTCTGATTCGGATAAATAAAAGATCTGTTCTGTCCTTTTTGTAAAACAAATATGCTTATCTGTTTTTACTATGTGCAATTGGAATGCACACAAATTTTATTTACACTGTTTTCAGTATTTTTTTAAATCAGTGGCATAAAGTTTGAACACTGATTTTGAGATTATCAGTGCTTGTAATTTTTTATTAAATCTGGTACTCAATCTTTTTAAATAACTGAAACCAACCAAAAAAAAAAGGGGATCAGTTTTTTTTTGGTTTTACTCCAGATCTATCAAAGGGGAATCAATTTCTCTTGTCACAATTATTTTCGACCAGCCCCTTGTCGCACCGCCGTCGCCGCTGGTGGATATAGGCTATGGCTTCTCCCTTCTCAAAATAAACACATAAAAAAGGAAAAGAGGGGGCAGAGGCTTAAACATTTTTGGAGCCACTGCCATAAACAAAGAAAGATTTAAAGAGAGAAGAGGCAAATGTCTTCTCTTCTTTAATGGTAGAAACCCTTCCGGAATTAATCTTAAAAAAAAATATTGGAGCTTTGTGCTCCAAGAGTTGCTGGCGATCTTGGAAAGAAGAAGAAGAGAAATAGGTTTCCTTCTTAAATGAAAAGATACTTTCTATATTTTTAATAAAAAAATAAATAAATAAGAAAAAGGGGGAGGGCTAGCAACGACAGCAACGTGAAAGGAGGAAGAAGTTCCTCCAAAACCATTCACTGGAATTCTTCCAAAGACAAAGGGCTTAAGACTCTTCTTGATAAATGCTTTATTTAAGTCAATGGGCTAAAGGCCCATTTCAAGATGGCCTGCAATTTTCTTTAGAGATTTTTACATTCCTATACACTATAATTACATTTTATATA